AAAGGCATTCCAAAAATATACATTTGTATTTTTAAAGACATACAGCTATATTTGAAGATGGAACCCCTGGACCCCCCCCCCCCTGACACATAGTTTTCCAGAGGCTCGTTGACAGATGGCTGGGAGGTGTTTATATTTCCTACTCACATGCCTTTTTTTAACCCTGAAAATTCTTCCACATTGGGCCGCAGTTACGTGTACCACACACGGTTGTAGGGATGGCCCTTTTCCAGTTGAATTGTCCGCATTCGGACGCCGGTACTGTCCTGAATGAACACGACACAAAATGATAACTTTTAGCCACGGACCGAGAAGCAAAGCATTGCAGCAGCAACACATGTGTATCACCGAATTTGTAGCTTAAGGCGGCAGTCAGGGGACAATAACACCGGCGGACTCTGCTAAATACAGTATGTGAACAAGTAAAAAAAAAAAAAAATATATATAACATATAATTTATATATATATATATAAATATTCTTGAAAGTCCCCTTCCCAAGGAAATGAAATTGTGCTTCCACCAAAAATAGTGATCAAAAGATTATACCGCACTCACCAGATATTGGAGAAAAAAACGCTTTTGTTATCAATTTATATATTTTGTATATATATCATAGGTTTTTGGGTTTTTTTTTTCCTTGGGAAGATGACTTTCAAGAATATTTATATCCTATAAACTTTATTTTTTTTATTTAATTTTTACCTTATATCCAATTAATTTTTCACACCAATTTCTTGGAGTTGGGACTTATACATTTTATATATTTTGTTTTGCAGTGGTATTTATTTAAATGTCTTTTTTGCGCTGTTTTAATGTTTTGTATTTTTGGTGTGGGTTTGCACTGACGTGCAGCAGCATTCATTTATATAATTTAGTATTAATTTGTACGAAATTTTGGGAGCTGGTGATTTAATGTTTAAAGTATGTGAACGAGGCCTTAAGAACAACTACTGTGTTTTGCCCCACCCCCTTGCCCCATTTTCTCCTGTCAGCCCAATGCAGACCTCACCCTCTATGGGCAGGGTCCCCTTGACACCCAGGCAGGAAGCCTGGCCATCATTCAACCCAGAAGAGGAGCACCATCTAGAGGAGGACAGAGATTGGGTATTTTTTTTTTTTTTTTTCATTTCAACTTTTTCTTCTTTTTGTTAGCTTTAAATACTATATTTCTTTACATTTGTCTAAATGTCAGTTTATCTAAACTCCTTATTCAGCTTTATTGTCCGCTAACAAGCCTGACACAGAACTATACACCGCGCGGCAAAGTTACGTGAAAGTCAAATATCTCATTATCGGTAGGTTTGTAAGAGCCATTAAAAGAATCCCTTTCAAATAAATTAACTTGTATTGTTTAAGGAGAATTTCTACTTTAGTTGTAATCAATGCGGTTTATTTCAGATTATGTTTTTAGGGACGTTCACTGGGCAAGCCGCTCGCTCTTCTTCACTTAGAAGTTGCTTTTACACTTGACATAGTTCATATTTAACCCCTCGCCTACCGGCACCATCAACCCCCTTCCTGCCCCAGGGCGCAAATCTTTCAAGCTTTTTAGCGCTGTCGACACTTTAAATGACCAATTGGCGCGGTTCATGCTGTACCCATATGACATTTTTATTATTCTTTTCCACAAATAGAGCATTTCTTTTGCGAGTATTTAAATCACCACCTGGGATTTTATATTTTTTGCTTAAACAAACCTAAAAAAAAGACTGAACATTTTGGAAAAAAAAATGGATAGTCAAGCACTGATCGTTCACCTGAAAAGGGTTGAAACTAATGAGGGCAGCACTGATGAGGGTCGCCACTGGCTCGCGCATTGATAACGGAGGCACTGATTGATGGTGTGCATTGATATGCGTGAACTGATGGGCAGTGATAGGCCTGCACTGATGGGTAACTAATAGGCAACACTGAAGGGCACTGATAGTAGCCATGGACTGGTAACACTGATAGGCAGCACTAACTGATGGGCACCAGATTGAACAGCATTGCTGGGCACTGATTGACAGCACTGTTGGGCACTTTGGGGCTGCACTTTTGGGGGCTGCACTGATATATCAGGGAAAGTACTGCCAATAACCAGCAAGTGTGTTTATTTGGTGATCAGCTGTGACTGGACACAGCTGATCCCAGTGATAAAAGTCAGCTGTAATTGGCCCTTTACCATGTCATGTGATCAGGCCGTTAAAGGGTCTACAGAGAGGTCACAGAGATCAACACAAAAGCATGAATGAAACGGAACGCAATCCACTGTGTACCATTTGTCATTTGGAGTCTGTCTGAGATTGGTCACAAGCGATCATACCTGGGTGACTATGGAGCAGCGCGTGCCTGGTATATAATCTGATCAGATCATAAATTAGGCCCTGCTTGGATCCGGTGGACAGCATGTGCAGAGTGGTACAACGATGCTGACTTGCAAGGCAGGCCATTCTTTAGGCACTCGTGAAGTGTGTTCTCTGGAGACGGACATCATACGACGTCCACACTACCCACAAGCGGCACGGCACTGGCTGTGGCACTTGATGCCCACAGATAGGCAACATTTCTTGGGGCACAGATTGACAGCACAGATGGGGGCACTGATGGGCACTTTTGGGGCAGCACTGATAATCAGGGGAAAGTAACTGCTGATAACCAGCAAGTTGTGTTTAAGTTGGTGATCAGCTGTGACCTGGACACAGCTGATCAACCCGTGATAACACAGGCAGCTGTAATTGAGCGGCTTGTTCATCTTTTTATTTTTTTTTTTTTCCTTTACCAAGTCATCGTGTATCATACCGTACGTCCCATGAGGCGGCCACCAGTGATCAGCACCATAAGCACAAAAGGCATGGCATGAATGAACACGCAATCCATTTGTGTACAATTGTCATGTGGTCTGCTGTGTTTTGGGTCACAGGCGATCACATGGTACTGACACGGGCTGGTACACTGATCGGGGTCACCCCGCTTTGTCCGGTGGACGCAGCAGGTGTCAGATCGCGCCAGTGAGGCACATGCAAGGTGTGTTCCGGAGAGGACATCATACGACGTCCACACCGGAGCGGTGCGTATCCCGCCCAACTGTCATTTGTCTATAGGTCAGGCAGGAACTGGTTAAACATATATCCATATGTATCTAAACATATCAAGTCATCTAAAGTCTCGCTTTTACAGAATACTCGCCCAGGGCGTTTTTCCTTCTGTCTTTTTCAGGCACTCGCTTTCATGGGTGATAGTACTTGTATAATACCGACTCACGCACCCCCTGGTGGAGACTACCAATATCCATCCCAACGCCGATGCTCAGGCATAGTCCATCTCCGGCCCAACTGGAAGCCAGTCATCCAGTTAGGGTTCCAATGAAACAAAGGCATCCAAGAGGTGCCGGGAATTCGATATGGGTTTACACAAAGTGCGGAGAGGGCAAACACATTAGAAGAGCCCACCGGCTCAGGTTAAGCTTCTCACGACAGACAAGGATACCCTCCAGTGGTGCCCCAGCAGGTTACCAGAAAAAACATGCGTACTTGGAAGGGACACCAGAGCAAAAGATAAAATGTCCAGATTCATTTATTGGTAATGTGCTAAAAGACAGCCAACAGTATTTCTGGGGTCAATGGAACTCCCCCTTCATCAGGGCTACAACAAGACTATAATAAAATGTAGATATGCACGTACGTGTATATGTGGTTTATTTTTAGATGCAAGTATGTGAACCAAGGGCGGACTGACAACTCATGGGGCCCCCGGGCAATAAGGGATCATGGGGCCCCTGTGTCCTTGCCCACACTCAAACCACACCCAAAAAAGCCTATGAAAGGTACCAGGGGCATCTCACGGGGCTCCCTACTGACCCCAGGCCGTCGGGCAGTGTCCGAGTTTCAAAATGCCCTGATCAATACTTTAATTTGTTGATGTTAGATTTCTTCTTTTCATGGCCAATGGAAGATCAAAATCTTGATTTTATGTGCCTCTGTAAGACGGAAACTTTCATGTGCGATATATGGTTGATACCAGGGGCGACTGACAACTCAAGGGCCCCATGGGCAAGAGGGGACTCCATGGGGGCTCCCTGTGTCCTCGCCCGACTCAAACCACATACCCAAAAAAAGCCTATGAAAAGTTTGTTATTACCAAGGGGCCATCTCATGGGGCCCCCTACTGACCCCAGGGCCGTCGGGCAGTGCCCTAATGGTCAGATCCGCCCCCTGATGAGAACACGTATGTATACAGCATGTATGTTATCCATGATGTTTTTATGAATGTTAGGCTCATGAATTTTATCATTCACAATTATATTTACAATTTTATTATGTTTTTGTTGTAGCCCTGATGAAGGAGGAGTTCCTTTGACTCTCCAAAACACATTGGCTGTCTTTTAGCACATTCCCAATAAATGAATGTGGACTCTTTGACCCTAGTTGGTCTGGCGTCCCTTCCATGGATGCACATTTTTTTCCTCGTTTTAAGAGTACAGTACTATATATAACAATCGTAGACCAAAAATGTTGTTTCCTAAGACTAGTGTTTCTCAACCAGGGTGCCGTGCAAAGGTTCAGTGGTACTTTGGATCAGCATCAGGAGTTGCTATGGTTCTGGCCATGGCTGGTTCTAGGGGGTGCTGGGGTGACTATGCCCCCCCCAGATTTAGTTGTTCCCCCCCCAAAGCCAAAGTTATCTGTGTGGGGAGGGGGAGTTCTGCTGCCTGTGCCCAGGCTGTGTGCCGTGCAGGGGATGGGAGAAGGAGTCTGCAGTGACCCCTGTCCTCTGCCCTGCCAGCAGTGACCCCTGTCCTCTGCCCTGCTCAGCAGTGACTCCTGTCCTCTGCCCTGCCAGCAGTGACCCCTGTCCTCTGCTCTGCCAGCCAGTGACCCCTGTCCTCTGCCCTGCTCAGCAGTGACCCCTCTCCTCTGTCCTGCCAGCAGTGACCCTGTCCTCTGTCCTGCCAGCAGTGACCCCTGTCCTCTGCCCTGCCAGCAGTGACCCCTGTCCTCTGCCCTGCCAGCAGTGACCCCTGTCCTCTGTCCTGCCAGCAGTGACCCTTGTCCTCTGCCCTGCCAGCAGTGACCCCTGTCCTCTGCCCCCAGCAGTGACCCCTGTCTCTGCCCTGCCAGCAGTGACCCCTGTCCTCTGCCCCGCAGCAGTGACCCCTGCCCTCTGCCCTGCCAGCAGTGACCCCTGTCCTCTGCCCTGCCAGCAGTGACCCCTGTCCTCTGCCTGCCAGCAGTGACCCCTGTCCTCTGCCCTGCCAGCAGTGACCCCTGTCCTCTGCCCTGCCAGCAGTGACCCCTGTCCTCTGCCCTGCCAGCAGTGACCCCTGTCCTCTGCCCTGCCAACAGTGAACCCTGTCCTCTGCCCTGCCAGAAGTGACCCCTGTGCTCTGCCCTGCTGAGCCCCTATCCTCAGCTCTGCTGACCCCAGTCCTCTGCCCTGCTAACCCCTGTACACTGCCCTGCTGACCTCCCATCCTTTGCCCCTATGACATTTTTTTTTGCACTTCCACATCAGACAGGCTAAATCCATCCCTGGTGCTGGGGGCCAATGATGCTCTAGGGCTAGATGCATGACATCATCTGATTACTATGGTGGTGGTGACTGGCTCATCCAATCATGGCAACACATGAACTGTGAACCAGGGCAGTCGGCCTGGAGGTTTGTCCTCAGCATTCAGGACAAGACAGAAGCCCACCCCTCAAGACTTCCTTCACCAGGGGGACTGGGGGGACCATGGAGCTCTGATGTGAAGGGGGAAGGGAACCCGATGTGATGGGAGGACTCTAAGGAGGACTTTGATGTGATGGTGGGAATCTCTGATGTCATGAGGGAATTTTTTGATGGGGGGGGGTGTTTCTGTTGTAAAGGGGGGACCTCTGATTTGAAATGGCCCCTTGTGTAATGGGGGGGACTCTGATAGAGGGGAAAGGTACTATTGAGGACTTTTGATGTATGGTGGGAAACCCTGATGTCCCATGGGGGGACCTTTGTGTGGGGGTGTTTCGTGTGAAGGGGGACCCTCTGATTTGAAATGGACCTCTGATGTAATGGTGGGGATCTCGATATATGGGGGGACATTAATATGGGACTCTGATTGAGGGGGGAACCCGGTCATGGGGGGCCCTTTGAGTGGGCCTTTTCTAAAAGGGAAGGAGGGTTTCTAATGTAAATTTGGGACCTCTGAGTATGGGGGGGGACATCTGAAGTAAAGGGAGGGGCTCAACATGATGGGGGGGGAACCTAAGTGGGGGGGGACCTTTGATGTGAAGTTGTTTTCTCAAGGTGGTTGTGTACCCAGGCTCGGGTTTTTCCCAAATGATAAAAAAACGTTAACATTGATTACTGTTAATATTGAGGGGTGCCTTTTGATTTTGCATTTTTTTAAAGGGTAACGCGATTAACCCCCCTGGGGGTTATTCCTGAGGTAGCTGGGTAAAATTTTTCAGCACCAAAGCGGTAACCCCCCCGAGCTACACTCGGGAATACACTGCACTTGTTTCCGGGATCTCTTCTGCCTTACCTTTCCGGCCCCCGCGGCCCCCCCCTCAGTGCCCCCGGCAAGCCCCCGGGCCCGATACCGACCTGTCTTTCCGGTTCATTTCCCTCGACGTCGGGATACGGGGACGGAACTGGGGGAAAAAATTTGAAAATGCAAAAAGTGAAATCACAAAAATACACTAAAATCACATATAAACATTCCGATCAAACCATTTCCATACTTGTGTCCCGAGTCTTTTGGGCGCCCTGCCTGTTTTTACTTTCTTTCTGCCCGGAAACGAGAAACGTCCATGGCGTCCAAAAAAGCGTCCCTTTAGGGCAGACGCGGTTTTTGACGGGAAGAAAAAGCGATGTAAATCAGAACCCCTTGAAATTGAGTGATAATGATTGGTGGGGAAATTTCCCCATCAGACACGAAAACGATTTGCACTTTTGCTCAGCGATGTGCGAACTTGGCGCTTTTTTCACATTTTGTGTTTTTGGTTTGATTACATTATTGAATTACATTTATTATTATTAAAAAATTTTTTTTATGATTATTTACTAAATTACAAAATTTTTTAAAAACGTGTTTTAAAAATTTTAAACCCTCCCCGGGGTTTTTTACAGACTCTTGTTCCGACAGATTTCAGGGGGTTATTCCTAAAAATTACAGCCTACAATAAAAAAAAACATTTTCCTGGGAAAAAAATGTTTCCCGGGTTTTTAAACACAGAAATATGGACATAATCAGAAACCCCCAAGGGGAGGCTAAAAAAGGTTGAGGAATTTTTATTTTCTGCCCCTTCGACCCAACCCCATTTCATGTGCCAATCCCTTTTTAATGCCTCAAATTTTGGGCATTTACAACCCAAATTTTTGGGGACGTTTTTTAAAGGAGTATAAACCTGGTTAAAAAAAAAAATAAAAAAAACAAAAAAAAATCCCCTTTTATTGGGACGTAAATGAAAAGGGCAGAGGGGGAGGGCTCGGTAGCGGGTAAAAAGAAAACCCACTGGGGATTTAGTAAACAAAAACGGTAACATTGGTGGGGGCAAAAAAAAAACATTAAAACATGCGTGAAAGCATCCAAAAAAGCCCCCCCGGGCACCGGGGACGCGGAGGTTGGGGTGCCCCCGCCAATTAACCCGTTCCCCCCCCTTCCCGGGGAAAAGGGGGGCCGGGCACCTGCCTCCCCGGTCGTGTGAGGACATTGCCCAAAAAAATTCTCTTAAAACCCCCCTTAGGGGTTTCTAAGACCCTTTTTTTTTAATTTCCCTGTTTTTGGGGCTTCAAAAAAAAGGGACATCCATGGAGGGGCCCCGGAAAAATTTGCTTTATGCAGGCCATAGACTTTTCAATTTAACGGGCCAAACCAATTTTTTTTGTCCGAAAAAAAATAATCGGCCGATTTTCCCCACCTTATTGGGCCCCTGGCTTCCCGGGCCAATTTTTTGGGACAGTTTAAAAAGGGGGGGCCCTGGGCATCGGGCCCATTTTCGCACTGTTAAAAGGGGGCCCCCGGCATCCCGCCCGATTTTTTGCAAATTTAAGGGGGGGCCAGGGGAAACGGCCCCCTTTCGCACTGTTAGAGGGCCATGGCATCGGCCGATTCCCCCACTCATTTGTGGGGGCCCTTGGGAAACGGGGCCAAATTTTTCCCCACTTAGTGGGGGGCCCCTTTGGGATCGGCCGAATTTTTTTGCCCCTGAAAGTGGGGGCCCTGGGGATCGGCCCTTTTTTGCACTTAAATGGGGCCATGGCATCGGCCCTTTAAAATTTTTTGCACTTAGTGGGGCCAAGGGCATCGGGCCCAAAATTTTTGCACTGTTAGTGGGGCCCAAATGGGGTTTGGCCATTTTTTCCCTGGTTTGTGGGGTCCCTGGCCTCCCGGGCCCAAAAACGCACTCAAGGGGGGCAATGGCATCAAGGGAAATTTTTGCACTTAGTTTGGGGCCAAGGGATTTGGGGCCCAAATTTTTTGGGACTTAGAGGGGGGACAATTGGGAAACGGCCCCATTTTCCCCCACTTTAAATGGGGCCAAGGCATCGGCCAATTTTTTCACATTAAATGGGCCCCTTTTGGGATCGGCCCGGAAATTTTTCCCCTTTATGGGGCAATAGGCCCTTTGGCCGATTTTTCGCACTTTTGTGGGGGCCATGGGGAATTTGGCCGATTTTCCCCCGGTTCCCCCGAAATTTCGCTTATCGGTCATTT